TCAAATTACGACAGTTACATCAGTTCGTTTTAAATATCCATTAGATGCAAATGATGAATTATCATTAAAATATTTTTGTTTTCCTGATCAACATGATACAAATAATAATCAGAATATAAATTCATATCTATCACCTATAAAATCAAAACCAGAATATTTTCGTTTTACATTAACCGATATGTGTGGAATACGACAACATGGTTATTGTTCACGTTTTATACATAAAGGTATTTTAAATGCATTATGTATTATATCACCATATGATATGATTGATTTATATGAAAAAATTCTTTCAACAGCAACCCAATTATTTATTTCATACAAAGATGAAGATGCAAAATTATTCTTAGAAGAAATTTATCCACATCGTTTACCAAATCGTGGCGATACAATACATATACATACAACAACAGTTGGATTATTTACATTAAAATGTGAATATGATCGTCGAAAACAATTAATTGATTCAGTTACTTTACTTAGTTTATCAACAGGTATGAATATTGAATTGTTGAAAGAAATTCTGTTAGACGTTTTCTTATCTCAATATAATCTATCGAATAAGATATGAATGAATAAAAATGAAGTTAGAATACGTCGAGTATTTCCTTCGAAAATGAAACAGCCATCAAATTGTTTAGAATTTCATTTCTGTGAAATTTCAGTACTTTTGAAGAATTTATAGTCTTGTTTTCTTAGTCTCGGTGCTATTTCTGAAGTTCTAGACAATTTTCATTGTTTCATAGATCTTTGTTTTAAGTCGATGATTCCATTGATCATTAATAGAGCGTCCTTGAGAAGACTGAGGATCTTCCCAGTATATGAGATACTGGTCAAAATTTCGATTTTTCGTTTTTTATGCGCGTTCAAAAGAGCATGGTCTCAAATCATTTTTAGCTCATTTAGATGTACTATAGTAAAGTCAGCTGGTACCGACTTCTGGATACTGTTAACTTATTACCCAAAAAAAAAAATATTCGAAAATTGTATCATAAATATGTACTAAAATAATACTTCCATAAGTTAGAGAATTTTTTCGTGTAATATATCAAAAGCTGAACAAAATGAGCTACTTGGATTAGTACATATTATCTACTTATTGAGGTTGCATAGTCTAACAAGGATAGAAGTAGTCATAATTTATGAGTTCAGAATGATTGATAGTATATCTGCTACCATTTTTTTTGAAATCAAGCTAGTCCAAGCTGAATTTTTGATATGTTATACAGCTTTTGATTCTCTAGAAAGTGGTAAAAAAGTTTATCTTCGAAATGAAACAGAATTCGCAACTATCTCCTAGATAGTGATTTTCGATAATTTTTCAAAAGGAACAAAACATTTTTAGTGATTTTTCATTGACAAGACACGATTGTAATTCAAAACGATTAGGACATTCGAAATCAGCACCAAAAACTACAACGAATCGAATAAATTCTAGAGATATTTTTTTTTCATGAGAAACTGACCTCTGAGGGACCACAGGCAAGAGTTTAATAAATACAGTCATGGGAAATCATAAGTGATTTTTCTTTCAGAAAAAAAATTTCTCTAGAGTTTATACGATTCGATGTAGTTTTTGATGCTGATTCCGAATGTCCTAATCGTTTTGAATTACAATCGTGTCTTGTCTATGAAAAATCACTAAAAATGTTTTGTTCCTTTTGAAAAATTATCGAAAATCGCTTTTTAAGAGACACTTGTGAATCTTGTTTCGCATCGAACTTTTTTTGTCATTTCGTAGAGAATCAAATATCATATCAAAAATTCAGCTTGGACTAGCTTGATTTCAAAAATACTATCAAACATCAACCATTTTGAACTCATAAATTGTGACTACTTCTGCTCTTGTTAGACTATGGAACCTCAATAAATAGATGATATGTACTAATCTAAATAGCTCATTTTGTTCAACTTTTGATGATCTATCTTTTGGATTCTCTAACTTGTGGAAATATTATCGTAGTACACATGGCATAATTTTCGATAATAAGTTATCAGTGTTCAGAAGTCGATATTAGCTAACTTTACTATAGTACATCCAAATAAGCTAAAAATTTAGGTTTAGTGGTTTTAGATCATGTTCTTTCGAATGCACGTAAAAAATGAAAAATCTAAATTTTAACCAGTGCCTCGATCCTCTCATGAATGCTCTCTTTAAGAATGTTAACTATTCACATCGAGTTTTTTCCTATATCCGAAGGTAGATGATTACAGTCTATTTTATATGGTCTAATCAAAAGTCAAACAGTTCATTTCATAAACATATCGGATTCGAGATTAGTAAATTTAAGAAATGATCTTATTTAATCATTATCATATATATATATACTGCTTCTGATTATTCATAGATACAATTATTAAAATATTTTCTTCGATTCTCTACGAACAAAAATTAATTTTTATCAGTAATGAACTTGGTCCATTAACACGTTTAATTAATACATTTATTTGTCTTTTATATCCATTTTCATGGCCACATACATATATACCTATATTACCAGCATTAATGCTTGATATAATTCAAGCACCAACTCCATATATAATCGGTATTTTACGTTCATGTGAACATTATCTATTTCGAAATGATGAATTTTTATCTCAAGATAATTCTGATATTCGTATTGTTGATATTGATCATGATCGTATACGTACATTAAATGATTATTTATTAAATGAATCATATCGTAATACAATTGATAATATAAATATAAATAATAATAATAATAATAATAGTTTTTTACAAATACAAATTCTTCCAAAAATTTTTAAAATTGAATTAAAACAAGAAATATCATTATTAAGAAAAAATAAATTAAATTTATCTATTGATGAATGTCAACAACGTTTACAAAATTTATTTATGTCTATATTTATACAATCATGTTATAATTATAAAGATTATTTAAAACAAACATTTAATATTGATCAATTTGTTCAATCTAAACAACATACAATTGAATTATTTTTAGAATGGTTTACACGAACACAAATATTTGAATTATTTATAAGAAAAAAACTTGATTCAAATATACAAAATACATTTGCTATAACATTTGATTTAGCTTGTGAAAAATATCGTCGAACAATAAAAAAACAACCATCACAACGTATTACAGTTAAATCAGTTAAACGAAAAGCAGCTATAAGATCAAATAAACAAGATAATCGATCATAAATTTAAATAATCATAAAATTTCATAAGCTATTTAGTCAGATAAGTTCGTGTGTTTTTCTTCTTGTATAAATTGCTTTGCTTTTTTATTGCTATTATATATATATATAACAGTCATTATTTGAAATATTAAATAAAAATATTATGCGCATGTATGTTTATGTACTTGGGTTTTTATTTATATGTGTTCATTTTGTTTTTTTTAATAAGATAAAAGTAAAAATTTCGGTATAGATTTGCTAATTATGCTTGCTATTTTGAATAAGAAAGAAAACTTCTATGATAATCGGTTTATCGCATTGAAAACTTGCAAATTCAAATCTACTGATATGTGTAAGAGAGAAAAATCTCATTCGGACATTCGAATGGTTTGGAATAAGATTTCTCCTTTGGGTATTCGTCATATTATTGATATAAGTGTAAAGATACTGGAAAAATGTTTAACGATGTTGTGTATGTCGATCACTCTCTGGTAGAGAGCTGCAGATCCACATTTTTATGGATCTAGACTCAACAAAAAACAAAACTGTAGATCCAGACCCGGTCAGGTCCGGACTTGAGTTTGTTTTTTGAGCAATATCTAGCACCCATTGTGTTCATGAACAAGCTTTAATTATTTATTGAATTCTCTAAACTTTAGTCGAAAGATATCAGTAGCACATGATTAACGTTGGATTATGTTCTTGTCGGTGTATGGATCTCATCTTCTTCAGCATTATACCCAAACTCTGTTCGTCGATCGATCAATTTTCAATATGTTTGTTTAATCAGTACCCCATTGCCGTTGGATTTGTTAATTCGGAAAGAACGAGATTATTTGTCATTTATTGCTAAATTTAATACTTTGTAATCGTTGTCAGCAATAATAATGGAATTGTTAAGCCTATTTGGTATCGCAATATAATTGTTGTATGGATCAAGGTGTTAATGATATAATGTTGGATTGAATTACTTTAAATTTAGCTTTTCTGTAATCGAAATAAAATCATTATTTGCGCTTCAGAATCTTACAATTGCAGATTGAATTAGATTTCATTCAAAAAAAAGTCTAGTGAGTACACAAAAGTCTACATTCTCGTTAAATAAATATTCGATTGAAGTGATTGTTCAGAAGTAGATATAGATGTTTACATAAGCAAGGAGGCTCAGATATTTGAAAAATTCTTTTGATCTCATCCTGAAGTTGTATTTGGGAAGCGAAAACTCGTTGAAAAAAGGGTTATTTCGAATTTTTCTCAAATTTGCGTTCAGCCAGATGTTGGATAGTGCATCTGCACGGCTACGTTTTTTTCTGAAACAC